TTTTTTTTCTTTTCTTTTCTTTTTTTTTTGTTTAGAGATGGGGTTTTGCCATGTTGGCCAGGCTGGTCTCGAACTCCTGGCCTCAATTGATCATCTTGCCGCAGCCTCCCAAAGTGTTGGGATTACAAGCATGAGCCACTGCACCCTGGTGACAACATTCATCGGTGGTTGGACTCCAGACCGCCAGGGCTCCCAGGCCCCAGCTCCAATTGCTTGTGAGCCCAGCAGGGCTCTTCTTCCCGCTGTGACTTCAGGTTTCGAGTCCTTGGAGGCCACCATCATGCTAATGGCTTCCTCACCCTCCCCTCCCACCCAGCGCCTTGCAGAGAGACCCAGTGAACCCACACAGACATGAACACACATGCTGAAGAGGGACGCATGGCCTTATCCATACATGCACGTGCACACACACACACATACACACGAGTGCACTAAAGCCAGAGTGCACAAATGCAGACCCTGGAAGTGATTTGTGCCTGTGCATAAACCTACACACAGCAACCCACCACACTCACGAACGGCTCCTGTGCGTTTGGACGCAAGCACGGAAATGCCTTTGCATGTGTGCACTTGAAAACATGAGTGCAAGCACACACTCGCCAGCAGCCACATGCCTAGGGTTGCGCGTGTGCGAGCATTTGGCACACAGACACAGGCCCACAAGGACACGTGCACCCTATGCCTATGTGTTTCAAGCCCATGCTTCATGAAATTGAGGAGCAGAGAGAAGGCTGGGTTCCTGCACAAAGGCGGCCTGGGAAGGGATTGTAGGAGGGACCTCAGACTGCGGAGGAGCCACCCTGGGCACATCTCTGGACTCTGCTGAGGGCACTGAGCTCTGCCCCCTCCTCTATGGTCAGAGCCTCTGTGGCCCCAGGTGGCTGGAGTGCCGATCCCCCTGTGTCCCCGCTCACCCCAGTCTGGGAAGTCCCGGTTGTTGCAGTATTTCTCCCCATGGGGCAGTGGGTAGAGGTAGTGCCCACACTTGCAGCTACGGATCATGTGGTCTTGGAAGCAGGAGCGAAGACAGGCCTGTGGGGGGTAGGGGGTTCATAAGGAGAGAACACAGGCACGGTCAGTGATGTCCCCATCCCAGCACCGGGGTGTCCAGAGAAGTGATGCCCAGGTTAAGGGAGCTGGGGGAGCTGGCGGAGGTGCTCCAGGGCTGAGAAGCTGTGCTGAGATGACTGGCTGCAGCTACAGACCCCACAGTCCTGGACGCTTTTGGGCTTCCCAGCAGGTCCCTGGACCCCGCAGAGGGACCTAGGCCAGACCCCAGTATCCCAGGTCTCACCATTCAGAGCTGGGGTCCTCACCCTTCACCACGGGGAAGAGCAGCTTGCTCCTAATAATAAAGCCAATGCTCAGAGAGCTCTCATTATGAGGATGCCAGCCTCCGTCCAAGCACTTGACACAGATGCACCCTGACAGGCTGCCAAGGAAGCCAGGCAGGCTAGCTCTGCGTTCCTTCCTCCCAGAGGGAAATGCCCAGGGAAAGCCAGGAGAAGGATGATCTCTGAGCGTCCTGACGCACAGTCAATGACAGAGGAAGTGAGTGGCCCACTGGTCTGCAGAACATCTCCTGGTGGGGCGAGGAAGAAGAGGGCTCCTGGGCAGCCTCCGGGAGGCTGGATGTGATGAGTCTCAACTCACTCGGCCCCAACATACTGGGCTTTCAGGTCATTCTGACCTGGTTTCAGTCCACTCAGAGACCAGCTATGTGTCCTAGGGCCAGTCATGACCCTCTGGGGCTCGGTTTACTCATAGGTGAAATAGGGTGCTGAGGACACCTGTCTCCTGAGGTTGGGAGGGAGGATTCAGGGCCACATCAGGTTCTCGGGAAGTGCTGCACGGATGGAGGCAGCGGTTCTTGGTGTTTCATTGTCTATCCAGTTTCTTAGGTCCTGACTACCCTGGGCTCCTGGATACAGCCCTGGCCAGCTCCTCCCTACCTCTCTCCACTCAGCCCCGCCCTCCACACCTGCGCCTCTGACTCCCCTTCTGCTCCTCCTGCGTCTCTGTCTCAGGTCCCTATGTGCTGCCTTTCTATTGTCCCTAATGAGTCTGTGGTTTCCTGAGGGCAGGAAATCGGGGCTGGATGGCAGATTAAATGGCATGGCCAGGAGGAGCCAGAGCTGGGTTTCCAGCAAGTGTTTTACATTCTTTTTTTTTTTTTTGAGATGGAGTCTTGCTCTGTCGCTCAGGCTGGAGTGCTGTGGCATGATCTCGGCTCACTGCAACCTCAACCTCCAGGGTTCAAGTGATTCTCCCGCCTCAGCCTCCCGAGTAGCTGGGATTACAAGCACGTGCCACCACACCTGGCTAATTTTTGTATTTTTAGCAGAGACCAACTTTCACTATGTTGGCCAGGCTGATCTCAAACTCCTGACCTCAGGGGACCCACCCACCTTGATATCCCAAAGTGTTGGGATTACAGGCGTGAACCACTGCGCCCAGCCTCTTTTTTACTTTTTTTTTTTTTTTTTTTTTGGTATTTTTCCTGAGACAGGGTCTCACTCTGTCGCCCAGGCTGGAGTGCAGTGGCGTGATCATAACTCTCTGCATCCTCAAACTCCTGGGCTCAAGCGATCCTCCCGCCTCAGCCTCTGAGTAGCTGGGACTACAGGTGTGCATCACCGTGCCCCACCAAGGTGTCTTATATTCTTGTAGACCTCTCTGTCTCATCTGGAAAGCGGGAGTCCTTCCCAGGCCCTGTGACGGAGGCTGGGGTGGGCTCAAGCCGGCTCCTGGTTACGGTGGCCATGGGGATGGGCAGAGCTCCTGATCAGGGCCTGGCTCTTGGCTAAGTTTTCTGGCCTGGGTGGCTACCACACCGGAAGAAACGAGAAGCGCAGTTTTCCTGGAATGAAGTTTCTGGGGCTGGCGCCTTCTTCTCCATGTTTCCCACCTCCCTGTACTGCTCTGTCTGTCTGTCTGTCTGTCCCTCCAGAGGCTCAGATGACGGCTAGAGTTCTCCATAATGGGCAGAAGTCCCTCCAGACATGAGGTGGCCAAACCAGCCAAGCAATGGGTGGGCAGGTGGGCACCAGGAGGGTCATTTCCTGTGACTACAGGGAAAGGCAAACCATGCCATGCTCGGGCACCCAGACACTGAGGCTGGCATTGGGCTGCCCTCTTGTTATGCCTCAGTGCACTGATCTGCCAACGCAGACTGGGCTGGAGAGGAAGTATCAGTGAGTGGTCATTTTTGTCACCTTTGCAAGGATTCAATCTGCCCTCTCCAAGGGGGCCAGGACTAGGGGCAGGTCTGGGTTAACTCTGGAGATCAGGACAAGAAGGAAGCTGCCAGCTACAGCAAAGAGGATTGAGGGCAGATACAAAGAGGGACTTCCAGTGGGTGCAGTGGCTCATGCCTATAATCCCAGCATTTTGGGAGGCCAGAGTGGGAGGACTGCTTGAGCCCAGGAGTCCGAGACTAGCCTGGGCAACATAGCAAGACTCTGTCTCTGCAAAAAATTTTTAAAATTAAGAAATTAGCCAGGCACAGTAGCTCATGCCTGTGGTCCTGGCTACTAGGGAGGCTAAGGCAGGAGGATCACTTGAATCCAAGAGTTCAAGGCTGCAGTGAACTATGATGGCACCGCTGCACTTCAGCCTGGGTGACAGAGCGAGACCCTGTCTCTCTTTTTTATTTTATTATTTTATTTTTTGAGACAAGGGTCTCGCTCTGTCACTCAGGCTGGAGTGCAGTGGCATGATCTCAGCTCACTGCAAGCTCCGCCTCCCAGGTTCAAGCAATTCTCTTGCCTCAGCCCCCTGCGTAGCTGGGACTACAGTTGTGTGCCACCACGCCTGGCTAAATTTTTTTTTTTGTATTTTTTAGTAGAGATGGGGTTTTACCATGTTGGCCAGGCTGGTGTTGAACTCCTGACCTCAAGTGTGATCCACCTGCTTTGGCCTCCCAAAGTGCTGGGATTACAGGCGTGAGCCAGCATGCCTGGCTATCTCTTTAAAAATAATAAAGACCGGGCATGGTGGCTCATGCTTGTTATCCCAGGACTTTGGGAGGCCAAGGCGGGTGGATCACAAGGTCAGGAGTTCAAGACCAGCTGGCCAACTTGGTGAAACCCTGTCTCTATTAAAAATACAGAAAAATTAGCTGGTGTGGCGGCGGGCGCCTGTAATCCCAGCTTCTTGGGAGGCTGAGGCAGAGAATTGCTTGAACCTGAGGCGGAGGTTGCAGTGAGCTGAGATCATGCAACTGCACTCCAGCCTGGGTGACAGAGTGAGACTCCATCTTAAGAAAAAAAAAAAAAGTAGGGGGATTTCTTAGGTAAATTGATGATGCATTTGAACTGGGGTCTGCCAATCCCAATTTCCTCATTCCTAGAATGGGAATGATAATAGCATCTACATCTTAGGGTTGTTGTGAAAGTTAAATGATGTAATGTATGTAAATTACTTACAACAGTGACTGCCTAACACATGGTAAGCCTGCTATTATTAGTTTATCAATAAATGCTGCTGTCATTAGTATATTATGGATTCATGGGGGGAGGGGGTTGAAAGACTAAACGATGATGGAATGTGTTCCAGCCCTTAGCACAGCATTTCACACGCAGTGAAAGCTTGATGGTGTTAGCTGCTATTTTTTGTTTTCATCTCGGGAAACCCCAGAGTAAGATCCCTATATTCCCCTGGGCATCCCCAAGGGCACACCTGCTCAAGTGGGGATGAGAAGTGGCCAGTCCTAGGCCCTGGTGAGAGAGCTCAGGAAGGTGACTGGTCCCACAGGCCCAGGGGTGCCCCGTGGCCACCTACAAGAGCCCAGCAGAGCCAGCCTTGCTGGGGCCAGTTCTCCCGGAGGACTGAGGCCTCCGCCCCATAAACCCGGACAGGGGCCCTGGGGCATGAGGTGTGCGCCGCCTTCCCACCTGGATGGAGTAGGTCGTGTTGTAGTCACTGTAGAAGTTTTGGACGGGGACCTCGGAGCCATTCACGGTGCACGGGCTGTAGGGCTCCCCCATGCGCTGAAGCTTGTCCTGGGTTTAGAGGGGTTGCTTGAGTGGGGCCCTGGTCGCTCCAGGAAACCCTTTCTGCACCTGCCTTCCATCAAGCATGCGGGGATAAAGGGCTGTGGACCCTTGCAAGTGCCAGAGGGGGCGCCAGAGGGCTCACCTTCCCCTAAAGCTTGGCCACCCTGAGGGGGTTCCAGCCAAAAGGAAGGCAGGCCAGGGCTGGGGGGCCTGGATCTCCTCCTCTCAGGCCAAGGGAAGTTGGCCCTGGACAGGTGGGCCCCCACCCTCAGACCCTCTAGGACTGCCCTTGGGCTCCGGACATACCACGAGTACCCCGATGGACGTCTCTGTCCCCGACATGGCATAGATGCCCTCGTCTCTGATGAAGGGGTATGACCTCTGCTCGTGAAGCATCAGCCTGACCCCGGCCGTGGACGCGAGGAAGGGGACGTAGTCTTCCTGGCCTATGTCCAGGATCAACTTCAGGCCTGTGGGGAGGGTGAGGTGAGGGCTGCCTGAACTTGTTCCTGAGGCAGAAAGGAGACCCCACTACCCACTTCTCCAAGCTCCCTCCAGCCAGGGGACCTCCAGGGACCGCCAAGGAGGCTGGCTCCACTTTGCAAAAACTCAGTACTCAAATATTGCTTGCCTTCTGCAAAGCCCCCATCATCTCCAAGGCAGGCTCTGACGTAGCCTCCTCCCTGGGTGTCTCTTGCCTCTCCATGATCTCTTTTCTGATCAGGAGGTAGATCTAGGAGGCACGGCATGGCCATGGCCCACCCACACCACCCCGCCTCACACCACAGGTGCCCTCGCTGTCACCGTTCAATGCCTCCGAGCTTCTGCACGCCTTCCTCCTGCTGTGCCTTTGCAAATGCTGTTCCCTCACTCTGGAGTGCTGTTCCCTCACCTGGAATGCTGTTTCTTGCTCTGGAATGCTGCTCTCTCACCTGGAATGCTGTTCCTCGATCTGGAGTGCTGTTCCCTCGCTCTAGAATGCTGTCTCTGCCACTTCCCTTCCCCCTAGAAACACGTGCTCTTCCTTCAGACCTCAACCAGCATCACTTCCTCCGGAAACCTTCCCTGATGGCTCAGACGAGGTGTCAGGGTCTTGGTTGTACGCTCTCCTTAGCCCTGGAACTTTCCTTCTGAGTACCTGCCTCATTTGTGTGATTCTTCTTTTATTGTCTGTCTTCCTTCCCCACTTGACTGTTATCAAGGGAAGGGTCTGGACCCAGTCTCCCACGCACCACAGTCCTGAGCTATGTGGAGCTGAGTCCGTCTGGTTAGGACAATAAGGGCTGGTTGAGTACTTGCTGTCTGCTGGGTGCTTTGCTAAGGGCTTCATTAAATGTGAGCTCCTTGGCCGGGCACGGTGGCTCACACCTGTAATCCCAGCACTTTGGGAGGCTGAAGCAGGCAGATCACTTGAGGTCAGGAGTTCAAGACCAGCCTGGCTAACATTGTGAAACCCCGTCTCTACTAAAAATACAAAAATTAGCCAGGCATGGTGGCAGGCTCCTGAAATCCCAGCTACTTGGGAGGCTGAGGCAGGAGAATTGCTTGAACCTGGGAGACAGAAGTTGTAGTGAATTGAGATTGCACCACTGCACTTCAGCCGGGATGACAGAGCAAAACTCCGTATCAAAATAGAGAAGAAAAAATACAAAAATTAGCTGGACATTGTGGCGCATGCCTGTAATCCCAGTTACTTGGGAGGCTGAGGCAGAATCGCTTGAACCTGGGAGGCGGAGGTTGCAGTGAGCTAAGATCACACCACTGCACTCCAACCTGAGCGCGAGCGAGACTCCATCTCCAAAAATAAAATAAAAGAAACATGAGTTCCTTGGATGCTCACAAGGGCCACATGATGGAGGTACTAGTATTGTCCCCATTTTACAGATGGAGAAACTGAGGCACAGAGAAATGAAAGGACTTGTCTGAGGTCTTCCAGTGAGGAAGTGCTTTTGCTGGGCTTCTTACACAGCAGCTGGCTGCCTGACTATAATCATCTGCGTCTGGAAGTAAGTTGACTGGCACCTCTGTGACAGTGCTCTCAGCAGCACGGGGGCTAAGTGAAAGGCACTCAGCTCACCTGCCCCACTCTTGGCCAGCGACCCTGACGGTCGCTGAATGACAGCCTGCCTCTTGGTGGCTGCAAAGATCAGAACCTGAGAGATGGGAGGAGGGATCCACTCCCACCTGTGCCTGGCTCACAAGCCCAAAAACTACAGCCAGCCTGAGTCCGCCAGCCCTTCTCTAGCAGTCAATGCAACACCTGAGCCCCGAGGGAGGGGGAGCCGTCATCCCCCATGCCCCATTTCCTCACTTCCATGGACTCCTTCAGCATCTGTGTGTCTCTGTCTTTCTTTAAGAATTGTACAGCCGGGCACAGTGGAACACATCTGTAATCCCAGTACTTTGAGAGGCCAAGGAGGGCAGATTGCTTGAGCCCGGGAGTTCGAGACCAGCCTGGGCAACAGGAGGAAACCTCATCTCTACAGAAAATTAGCCACCTGCAGTCCTAGCTCCTCAGGAGGCTGAGGAGGGAGGATCACCTGAGACCAGGAGGTCGAGGCTGCAGTGAGCCGTGACCATGTCATTGCACTCCAGCTTGGGTGACAGAGTGAGACCCTGTCACAAACAAACAAACAAAAAACCAAAACTGTACACCAGAGGGGCAGACAGACTAAGAGACTAAGTGTTAGGTGTTTCTTTTCTTTTTCAAATTTGTATAAATGTGAGTGGTACAAGCACACTTTTGTTACATGGAGTTATTGTACAGTGGTGAAGTCTAGGCTTTTAGTGTAAATTTCACTGGAATCCTATATACTGTTCTCATTAATTTCTTGCCCCTCACCTGCCTCCTACCCTCCCATGCTCTAAGTCTCCGATGTCCATCCTTCCACACTGTGTGTCCACCTGTGCACATCATTTAGCTCCCACTTACAGGTAAGAACATGCAATATCTTTTGGTCCATGTATTAACTGCATGATCCTGGATAAGTTGTTTAAAAACTGCTCAGAATACTCAGTGTATATGGAGCATTTCCTACTTCCTAGGCAGTTGAAACAATTTACCACATTGCATCATAATGACTCACAAGGCATATGCTATTTACTCATTATAATGGCTCACAAGGTAGATTTGATTTACTATACTAAATGCTCTGCTCTGCTACTATATACTAATGTATGAATGGGGAGACTAAGGCTTTGAGAAGGTTGCTCTGGAGCTCAGGAACACCCTGCAAATAAATGGTGGAGCTGCAGTGGTGCGATCATGGCTCACTGCTGCCTTGACCTCCCCAGCTCAAGCGATCTTCCTGCCTCAGCCTCCTGAGTAGCTGGGACTACAGGTACGTGTCATCATGCCTCACTAATTTTTGTACTTTTTTTAAGAGATGGGGTTTCACCTTATTGCCCAGGCTGGTCTCGAACTCCTGGGCTTAAACAATCCTCCCACCTCGGCCTCCCAAAGCGTTGGGATTACAGGCATCAGCCACCATGCCTGGCTGAACCTTGAGCTCTTGACCACGAAGCTGTGCTGCTTCCAAATCCTCACTTTGCTCATCAGCAAAACGGGAACACCAGTTGCTACCCCAGGGATTCTGAGCATTGCAGGAGGGAATGGCTGAGGAAGCGCCTGGCCTGGCCTCCCCTGGCACACAGCAGAGCCTCAGTAGTGGTCACTCCGCTTGATGCCGCATTAGTCCCCCCTCAGGCCCACCCTGCAACAGCTGATGGTATTTCAGTCCCACATCATAGGGGTGGTTAAAGCCTCTTGGCTCTGGCCCCAGGATAAACCAAAACTCACCAAATTCAGTTCCAGGGTTGGCCGAAGGAAGTGCCTTCTCTGTCATGCCCCAGTTGAAGATGTAACAGTTGCCATAGTGAGGGTAGAAGATGGACGTGAAGTTCCTAAAAGAAACAGCATCAGCTGCAGGGCAGGTTCCACCACAGACAATGCCTTCCCCGACTGTCTGCTTTCCACCCTTCGTTTCCTCCTTGGAGGGGCTCCGAAAGGGAGAGGCGAGCAACAGGTCATTCTGTCCGTCCTCTTGCAAAAACCAGAGAGGGGAGTCCCAGGCTCCCTTGGGAAAGCAGGGGAAGAGAATTTCTCTGGAGTTGGGGCTCAGGCTCTCTGGTTTAGCCGTGAGTTATGAAAAAGAACTTTCTGGCTGAGCCTGGTGGCTCACGCCTGTAATCCCAGCACTTTGGAAGGCCGAGGTGGGAGGATCGCTTGAGGCCGGGAGTTTGAGACAAGGCTGGGCAACATGGTGAGACCCTCATCTCTACAAAAAACACAGAAATTAGCCAGGTGTGGTGGTGCATGCCTGTAGTCCCAGTTACTTGGGAGGCTGAGGTGGGAGGATTGCTTGAGACCAGGAGTTCGAGGCTGGAGTGCACCGCTGCACTCCAGCCTGGGTGACAGAGTGAGACCCTGTCTCTAAAAAACAAAACAGCAACAACAACAACAACAACAAAACGAAAAAGAGCTTTCTTAGATGTTTTCATCTGTCTCACATACACCCCAAAAGAGGCACATCCATGTCCTCACCCTCAGAACCTGCGAGTGTGACCTTATTTGGAAAAAGGGTCCTTGCAGATGTGACTAAGGATCTCCAGATGAGGTCATCTTGGATTATCCAGGTGGGCCCGAAATTCAATGACAAGTGTCCTTAGAAGACACAGAAGAGAGACAGATACAGAGGAGAAGCTCATTGAAGACTGAGGCAGGGGCCTTCAGACATAAGCCGAGGAACGCCTGGGCCCACCAGAAGGCTCAGGGGAGGCTCCCTCCTTGCCTCTTCTGTTGACGGGTGTGCTGGAGTTCATCAAACCCTGTCCGGTCAACGTGCATGTTCTCAAGTCTCCAAAGTAAGCAGCTTTAAAAAATACCTCTTGATGTTTTTATATTGTTCTTTTTTCATTTATTAAAAACAAGAGGAGGTTGGGAACGGTGGCTTATGCCTGTAAGTCCAGCACTTTGGGAGGCCAAAGTGGGAAGATCGCTTGCGCCCAGGAGTTTTTTTTGTTTGTTTGTTTGTTTTGAGACAGAGTCTCGGTATGTTGCCCAGGCTGGAGTGCAGTGGTGTGATCTCACTCCAGGCTGAGGAGAATCTCAGCGATTCTCCTGCCTCAGCCTCCCGAGTAGCTGGGACTACAGGCGCCTGCCACCTCGCCCGGCTAGTTTTTTGTATTTTTTTTAGTAGAGACGGGGTTTCACCAGGTTAACCAGGATGGTCTCGATCTCCTGACCTCGTGATCTGCCCGTCTCGGCCTCCCAAAGTGCTGGGATTCCAGGCTTGAGTCACCGCGCCCGGCCTAATTTGTGTATTTTTAGTACAGACGGGGTTTCATCATGTTGGCCAGGCTGCTCTTGAACTCCTGACCTCAGGTGATCCACCCACCTTGGCTCCCCAAAGTGCTGCGATTACAGGCATGAGCCACTGCGCCCGACTGAGCCCAGGAGTTTGAGACCAGCCTGGCCAACGAATTGAGACCCTGTCTCTAAAAAAAAAAAAAAAAAAGCCAGGCGTGGTGGCGAGTGTCTGTAGTCCCAGCTACTTGGTACTTGGGAGGCTGATGTGGGAGGATCACCTGAGCCTGGGGAGTTTGAGGCTGTAGTGAGCTGTGATTGCACCACTGCACTCCAGCCTGGGCAACAGAGTGAGACCCTGTATCAAAAAACAATAATAAATTGTAAAAAATTAAAAATAAAAACCAGAAGGAATGAGAATAAGTACATCAAATAACACATACACACAAAACGTCACCTGCCATGCCGTATTGTCTTTGAAGCCCTTATGCTCCACAGCAAACTTTCACTGAGTGACTTTCATGGGCCAGGCCTGTGCTGAATCTTTCTGTGTACATGATCTCATTTAACTCTCAAAATAACCCCACGAGGGCAGGTGTTATTTTCCCACGTTTTCAGATAAGAAAGCCATTTCCTGTATCTTTTGTCCCGGTCCGTGGCCTTGCAGAATGACTTGGGTCCAGGGCAGGCTGTGAAATGGGATATGGGGGCTGCCCCAAGCTCTGCCACTGTCAACAGATTTCAGCTGCTTACTCAACCTCTGAGCTTGGGTTTCCTCCGTGCTGCAAGGGGAAGCAGGAAGAAACCACATTTTTCCACCCAATCAATGTTTGTTGAGGTGGGTGCTGGGCTAAGGACACCAAGCAAAACAAGACAGGGCTGCCTTTTGTAGCTTCCAGTGTGGCTGAGGACAGAGAGTGGAATCCTATCAACCCCCGTCTCCTTCCAAGATGTGATTTTCCTATTTCTTTTTTCTCTTCTCTTTTCTTTCTTTCTTTCCTTCTTTCTTTCTTTCTTTTTCTTTCCTTTCTTTCTTTTTCTATCTTTCTTCTTTCTCTCTCCTTCCTTTCTCTTTCTTTCTTTTCTTCTTTCTCCTTCCTTCCTTTCCTTCCTTTTCTTTCTTTCTTCTCTCTTTTCCTTTCTTTTCTTTTCCTTCCTTCCTCCCTTCTCCCTTTCTCTCTTTTCTTTTTTCCCTTTCTTTCCTTCCTTCCTTCCTTCTTCTCCTTCCTTCCTTCTTCTTTCTTTTCTTTTCTCTCTTTCTTTCTCTCTTTCTCTCTTTCTTTCTTTCTTTCTTGACAAAGTCTTACTCTGTAACCCAGGCTGGACTGCAGTGGCATGATCTTGGTTCACTGCAACCTCTGCCTCCTGGATTCAAGCAATTCTCCTGCCTCAGCCTCCTGGGTAGCTGGGATTACAGGCGGGCACCACCACGCTCAGCTATATTTTTTTTGAGATGGAGCTTCACTCTTTCACCCAGGCTGGAATAAAGTGGTGACATTTCAGCTCACTGCAACTTCTGCCTTCCGGGTTCAAGCGATTCTCCTGCCTCAGCCTCCCGAGTAGCTGGGATTATAGGTGCCTGCCACCACAACCAGCTAATTTTTGTATTTTCAGTAAAGACGGGGTTTCACCATGTTGGGCAGGCTGATCTCGAACTCTTGACCTCAGGCGATCCACCCACCTCAGCCTCCCAAAGTGCTGGGATTACAGGCGTGAGCCACCGTGCCTCGCCTAATTTTTGTATTTTTAGTAGAGATGGGGTTTCACTATGTTGGCCAGGCTGGTCTTGAACTCCTGACCGCAGGTGATTTGCCCACCTCAGCCTCCCAAAGTGCTGATATTACAGGTGTGAGCCACCAGGCCGGGCTCCAAGATGTGACTTTGGTCTGTCCACCTGTCTCCACCTCAGACACGCCCACCCTGACCCAAGCCACCAGCATCTCATGTCTGGATTCTTGCTGGAGCCTCTGCCTCTGCTCATCCTTAAGGTCTTCCTTCTGTACAGCGGTCAGGGTGATTGTTTAAATTTGCGAGTCAGACTATGGCACTTCCTTTCTGAGAACCCTCCAAAGGCTTCTTGTCACTCACAGAATAAAGTGCAAAGTCCCTATGCTGGCCTTCTATGTCTCGTTCCTTACACTCCAGCAACACTCTAGATGTTTCCAAGCTCAAGGCTTTTGCCGCTGTTGTCTTTTGTGCCTGGAATAGTCTCTAACCAGCTCTGCAGACACTGGCTTCTCCCCATCCTTCAGCTTTTATCTGCTCTAAGGCCTTCCCTGAACCCCTATGCAAAATGATGGACTTGAACTATTAGTTAATAGTACTTTATTACTAATAGTAATAGACTTTTCTACCTAGTTACTCTAGATCTTTTCCACCAGTTTATTTATATGTATGTATTTATTTATTTTGAGATGGAGTTTCACTCTTGTCGCCCAGGCTGGAGTGTAGTGGCACGATCTTGGCTCATTACAACCTCTGCCTCCCCGTTCAAGCGACTCTCCTGCCTCAGCCTCCTGAGTAGCTGGGATTACAGGCGCGCACCACCACGCCCAGCTATTTTTTTTTTTTTTTTTTTTGAGATAGAGTTTCACTCTTTCACCCAGGCTGGAGTGAAGTGGTGCCATCTCAGCTCACTGCAACTTCTGCCCTCTGGGTTCAAGTGATTCTCCTGCCTCAGCCTCCCGAGTAGCTGGGATTACAGGCATGTACCACCACAACCAGCTAATTTTTGTATTTTTAGTAGAGACAGGGTATCACCATGTTGGCCAGGCTGGTCTCGAACTCCTGACCTCAGGTGATCCACCCGCCTTGGCCTCCCAAAGTGCTAGGATTTCAGGTGTGAGTCACTGCACCTGGCCCTTCCACCAGTTGATTATCTTCTTTATCAGATACATCAGAATCTGAAATCATCTCCCCCACCCCGCTTTTTTTTTCTTGGTAGAGACAGCGTCTCACTCTGTTACCCAGGCTGGAGTGCAATGGTGTGATCATAGCTTACTGCAGCCTCAAACTCCTGGCCTCAAGATATTCTCCTGCCTCAACCTCCTGAGTAGCTGGGACTACAGGCATGTGCCACCATACCCAGCTAATTTGTAAAATTTTTTGTAGAGGTGGGGTCTTGCTATGTTGCCCAGGCTGGTCTTGAACTCCTGGCCTCAAGGGATCCTCTGGCCTCAGCCACCCCAAATGCTGGGATTACAGGCATCCACCACTGTGCCTGCCCTTAAATTATCTTCTTGACTTAATTGCTCACTTAGCTGTCTCCTGCTTAGAACATAAGCCCGGGGAAGGAGCATGACCTTGTCTGTCTAGAAGGCGAAGAGCTCAGAGGTCAAGAGCACAGACCACAGAGCCAGCCTGGTTGATTTCAATTCTGGCTGTGTCTCTTAGGCAACTGGTGAGCTTGGGGATGGTGACTTCACCTCTCTGTGCCTCACTTTCCCCATTTGTAACACCAGATAATGCTGGCAGTCACCCTACATGACCGTGGCAAGGGGTGGATGCCTAGCATACTGTAATACTCAAAAAATCTTGGCTGCTACTGTTCACAGCTCTGTGCCCAGGGTGTGATACAGAGCACACAGACACTCAGTAA